AATTTTTTTTTATTCACATAAAATTCCCTTTATTCCCCAATCCATCCCATAATTCCCACTCTGATTTTGGTGTTTTTTTCCCTAAAAAATTCCCATCCCAGACAACGAAATCGAGGAGATCTCGGGGCTGCAGAATTGTCACCGATTGACCCATCTGGGACTGTCCCACAACAGGATCAGAGCCGTCGCGGGGCTGGAGAACCTCCCCATCAGGATCTTGGACTTGGTGGGGATTGATTAATTAATGAATAATTAATGGTTTTAATTGAGATATCGATATCTGCAATCAATATGTCGATATCTGATTGGGTTTAATCAATGTATTGATATCTGACCCATCTGGGACTGTCCCACAACAGGATCAGAGCCATCGCGGGGCTGGAGAACCTCCCCATCCGCATCCTGGACCTGGTGGGCATTAATTAATTATTAATTATTAATGGTATTAATTAAAAATTGATAATTGATTGGGTTTAATTGAGATATCGATATCTGACCCATCTGGGACTGTCCCACAACAGGATCAGAGCCGTCGCGGGGCTGGAGAACCTCCCCATCAGGATCCTCGACCTGGTGGGGATTAATTAATAATTAATTAATTAATTGTTTTAATTAAATATTGATATCTGATTGGGTTTGATTGAGATATCGATGTCTGCAGTCGATATATTGATATCTGCCTGGTTTTAATCAATGTATCAATACCTGAGTGATTTTAATCAAAATATCGATATTTGATTGGGTTTAATCGAGATATCAATTTGTGCAGTCAATAGATCGTTATCTGACTGGATTTAATTGATTGATTGATTTATTTATTTATATATTTATCTATGTATTTATTTATCTATCTATATATCTATTAATTCATTTATTTATCTGTTTATCTCCTTATCTCTTTCTCTATTTATTTATCTATTTATCTATTTATCTATTTATGTATTTATCTATTGATTTATATATCTATTTATTTATTCATTCATTTATTCATTTATTTATTTATCTATTTATTTATTTGTTCATATATCTATTTATCTATCAGTTTGTTTATTTATTTATTTATTTATCTATTTATCTATTTATTTATTTATTTATTAATCTATTTATTCATTTATTTATTTATGTATTTATTTCTCTATTCCCTGTTCCCAGAGCAGTAACCGGCTGCAGACGGTGCGGGGTCTGCGGGCGCTGCCGCAGTTACAGCGCGTGGATCTGTCCTGCAACGAGATCCGCAGCCTGCGGGGGCTGCAGGGCCACGGGCTGCTGGAGAGTATTGATCTGCAGGACAATCGGGTATGATTATTGTCAATTTAAATTATTTATTAGCGTTTTGTTAGTGTTTTATTAGCGTTTTATTAGTGTTTTATTAGTGTTTTATTAGTGTTTTATTAGCATTTTATTAGTAATTTATTAGTGTTTTATTAGCAATGCCATCCACAGCCTGCGGGGGCTGCAGGGCCATGGGCTGCTGGAGAGCATTGATCTGCAGGACAATCGGGTACATTATTGATAATTGAAATTATTGATTTGGGGATTATTTGTATTGTATTTTATTATTTTATTAGTATTTTATTAGCATTTTATTAGTGCTTTATTAGTATTTTATTAGCATTTTATTATCATTTTATCATCACTCAGTGTGTCCCTCACCCTTTATTTCACATTTTTTTTGGTTTATTTTCACTCAGTGTCACTCTCAGATCTATTTCACATTTTCCTTCCGCTCAGAGCAGAATTTCCCATTTTTTTAATTTTTCACCCAATTTTTTTAATTTTTCCCTGATTTTGTCTCTCTCAGGTGGCCGAGCTGAGGGAGCTGCGATGGATCCGAGATCTGCCCCTCCTGAGATCTTTAAATCTCCTAAAAAACCCCATCCAGGTGAGATAAACACCTCAAATTCATTGGATTATTATTTATTTTATAATTTAATAAAATATTTTCAATTTTTTATTATTTTATAATAGATAAAAATATCTATAATTGATGTATTTATCTATTAAATATTAATTAAATAATTCATTCGCTATATATATCCAATATTTCTTATTTTATAAAATAATAAAATATTTTTCATTTTTTCTTATACAAAATAATAAAATATTTTCTTTGTTTTCTAATTTTATAATATATAAAAATATATATAATTGATATATTAATCTATTAAAGATTAATTAAATAATTAAATAGCTATATATATAATATCCAATATTTCAAAGATTTTCAATTTTTTCTTATTTGATAATATATAAAAATATATATAATTTGTATATTTACCTATTAAATATTATTTAAATAAATAATTAGCTATATATATAATATCCAATATTTCAAATATTTTTGATTTTTTCTTATTTTATAATATCGGATTAAATATCGGACTAAATATCGGATTAAATATTGGAATAAATTTTGGAATAAATATCGGATCAAATATTGGGTTAAATATCGGATTAAATATTGGATTAAACATCGGATTAAATATTGGATTAAATATCGGATTAAATATGGGATTAAATATCGGATTAAATATGGGATTAAATACTGGATTAAATATGGGATGAAATATCGGATTAAATATCAGATAAAATCTCGGATTAAATATCGGATGAAATACGGGATTAAATATGGGATTAAATATCGGATTCAATATCAGATAAAATCTCGGATTAAATATCGTATTAAATATGGGATTAAATATGGGATTAAATATCGGAATAAATATCAGATTAAATATTGGAATAAATATGGGATTAAATATCAGATTAAATATCGGAATAAATATGGGATTAAATATCAGATTAAATATCGGATTAAATATGGGATTAAATATCGGAATAAATATCAGATTAAATATTGGAATAAATATGGGATTAAATATCAGATTAAATATTGGATTAAATATGGGATTAAATATCGGATTAAATATGGGATTAAATATGGGATTAAATATGGGATTAAATATCGGATTAAATATGGGATTAAATATCGGATTAAATATGGGATTAAATATCGGATTAAATATCAGATAAAATCTAGGATTAAATCTAGGATTAAATGTGGGAATAAATATGGGATTAAATATCGGATTAAATATCGGATTAAATATGGGATTAAATATGGGATTAAATGAAATTT